CCTCGGCCGGGAGTCGAACCCGGATCTCTTGTATTCCGTAGGAGCGTCCAATGCCTCGGTAGTCTAATGGCTCAGGAAGCTCGTACGGAATACAAGAGATCCGGGTTCGACTCCCGGCCGAGGTAATATTTTTCGCAATAAATTTAATTACAGTTTTCGACCGGTATGGAGCTCTAATTTATCGGTTGTGTTTCTCACATATACGGTCTAAAAATGATATTATTGTAAACATTAATGTTCTGCATTAAAAATAAATCGCTAGAATAAAAATATTTAAAAAATATATAAAAGGCATGTAGAAAAACAGAAGTAAAATCTTTACAATATATAAAGTTACAAATGTCATACAAGAAAACTTTATATTTTTAATTATTTTCAGAACCACGAGCCGATATTTGTGATTTGTGTGCGACTTTAATACTGGATATGCTCGAGGTCGCCGGTAATGTGCTGTGGACCGCTTACCCCAAGCAGTTTTATAAGTTGCTGACGCTGTTGATGGAACAGTATTTTCCGCGAATGCATCATGTCGCGGGCGGTGGTGGCGGGCCTCTAGTACGGTTGGAGGAGTTTCTAAACAACGCCCTGTCAACTGGCATTATACGTCTCGCCGATGGAATGCTTCCGCCAAACTTTTTGTGATTTTCCATGAGATCATCCCGATGACGTAGTGACTTAAACGTAGGCTAAAATTTATGAGTCTAGCAATGGGGTAAGAAATGTATTTGAATTGTTTCGAACATACGAAAATATTGATAAGTTTCAAATTGTTTCGAGTTATTTGAAACAACGATTTTACACATTTTGGAAAAAATGTGAGTTTCAGAAAAAAATTAAATTTCAAAAATTAAAGTTTACAAAATCTGTAGTTTGAAAATTATGAAACAAATTTTTCCAAAAATTATGAAAAATTTGACGAATTTTATATTTGTTAAAATTTGTTAGTTCTCACAAATTTATCGAAATTTGTGAAAAATCAGAACTTCTGAAGTAATGAACTGATGAAACTGATTCTAAATTTTAGTTGTAAGCAGAATTATTTGAAAAGACAAAAAATTGTATCCATCGGAACGTATGTAAGTCTCACCGAATTGTTTATATCGTATTATTTATATTGCGAAGTTTTCTAGATGAATTTTACAATTTACAAAACGGGTAATATTTTACGAACTATGTGAATCGATTTGGAATAAATCGGAAAGTGCGGAAAAGAGCGAAAAATCGGATGAGAGAGAAAGAATGAGTGGGAAATAAAAATAATCTTTTTTTTTAACGAATTATGTGCGTATGTGTGTGTGTGTGTGTGTGTAAATGAAGGATAAATTTGCGAATTATATTTATTTAAATTTAATAAAATACCACATGTTATATTCAAGCAAAAAAGAGAATACATTTATAAGTGTATATATGTATAAAACGATAAAAGACAGAAGTAAGGAATAAATAATGTAAGATAATTTTAATAATAGGGCACCTTAGTATCTACGCACTTTTTATCAATCAGATTGTAGTAATCCATAGAATTCTTGGCAAAACCTATGACGCCATAGGACGACAGTCTCTCCAGCCATTCTTCATATTTATCTATGTTTAATAGATAAGCTGTAAGTTTTTCGGCCAGTTCATCCGCTGAATAAAATAACAAAAATATGTTGAAAAGAAGTGAAACGGAGAAAAGTTAAAAGCACGCACAGAACGCATATCTCGTAGATATTTTTTTCTTTGCTTTATTCTTTCCGATTTTAGCAGATTGAAAGAATCTTTTATTTTTATCTTACACATAGTGCTATTTATCTTTATTTCATTCATAGATTTAGTTTTTATTTTAATTTTCGAAGTTCCTTTTTCATAAATAATTACTTTTATATGATTTTTTCGGTTAACCGTGAAAACAAAGTTTATATTCCACGAGATCCTTCTAACGTTAATCTTCGACAATATCTGTTCTAACATAGTTAGATTAATATACCTAATGTATTTTTGATCATAATGCGGTAGGGCGGCAAAGGTCCTAAACTGGTGAGAATGTGAAGAGAATCCACACCGGGTACGTTGTATTTATTACATCTTATCGCCGTTGATTCCAGAATCCCCACTTCCGCTTGTTTGCTGGCGACCATTTCCAGTACTTCGAGCTGCGTACTAGCATCTGAATTAAAAAGGTAATTGAAAAAAAATTTGTCTGTATCTATTCAAAAGAATCTCGATCCATTAGAAAGATACGATAGATATAAAGCAAATATTATTTAACACTTTCGCTCAATATTTCGTTTACTATTGTTATTTCTTCTGTAAATCTTCAGATCTAGGACTTTAGATCTTCAGATTTAGGGGATCCTCCCCAATGACCTTAACCTTGACATATGTTGTCATGATCCCGAGTGACCTCCAACAAGTTTTAGCCGTCGCTCGTTATTCGTTAAAAAGTTATTAACAAAAAAGTTTGAAAAATAATGTCATTTTTCTACTGTATAAAACAAAAGCAAGGTTCATCCCACTTTTTCCCTCTGCTAAGGAAAGTTACTTTTTTAAACTTCTTTTGTTAATAACTTTTTAACAAATAACGAGCGACGGCTAAAACTTGTTAGAGGTCACTCGGGGTCATGATCTTGACAATATATGTCAAGATCAAGGTCATTGGACGGGGTCCCCTAATCTAAAGATTTACCATTTCTTCAATTTGGCATTTTTCTTTGACATTTTTGATGCATCGATAACGAGGATCTTAACGAAACAGACATACAACTAATAGATATACATATAGTTAATGATCATCAATTATATAGATAAAATACTTTCAACTAACCGAGTATATTGCCAAAAAATATCACGTTTTCGCCTTTCGAGTGCAAATAAGTAAAGAGTAATCCAGCGGCAGAGAATTGGTGTCGTTTATTTGGAACAGCGCACCTATGTCCTCGCAAATCCATGACATTCTGCAGTTAATAAATGATTGCCAGTATTTTAAAATTATTTGAGAGAATGCACATCTTATAATTATTATTTTTAAATAAATGAAAATTTTAATGATGTATAATTAATTAAACTATATTAATTATAGACTAAGGAATAAGAAAAATGATAAAAGTTGCTAAATTCATTTACTTGAATATGCGGAGCACGATCCTTTGCGACGATTACATCAGCGTAGACGCTGGCTGACTTGTCTTTATTCAAACGATGATCAAAAACAAAACTTGCAGGTAAGAGCACACCGTCTTTCCATGTTTCGGCCGCGGACAGAATAACTGCAGAAATAAATTAAAAGATAAAAAATTTTTATTTTTTTATTAGTACTATTATATTTTTCAATAGGATATACTTTTCTTTCCGTCGTGAACGAACAAAGTTCGTAAGTTGCCTTGAAATAAAAAATTATCGCGTAGTCAAACATGACGAAGCGATGTTTAATGATATATATTTAAGGAAAAGATGTTGAAAAAAAATAATACGTAATTGACCTTCAGATGTATTTATGAAATCCTTCGTTTATGTTTCAGGATAATAAAATCTTTCTTGAGAAATCTATTTAGGCGTACCTATATCGGCGACTTCCGTAGCGACAGGTCGATCGTTTCTGCACTCGTGTAACAAGACAACTGGCCTCTTCGTGACAACTTCAATCATTTCTGCAAACATTTCGAAGAGCCCGATCGGCAATGAGGGCACTAAATGATGCGTTGCCAGGACCAAATGACATTCTTCGAAGTTCGGTGTTGACATAGGCGGCCAGAATTTACGTGCATTAATCACGTCTCGAGCTAATTCCTTCGTTAAATGTTCAAGATTTTAGTTAACTCCCACCTTAACCGTATTTTCATTTAATTTTGTGAATAAAATTTATTTAAGAAATTTAATTAAATTTATTCTGGGAAAGAAAAATTAGGTTCGTCAGAATAAAACTATTATAAAATTATATGGGTAAAATTTTTTGTATAGCTATCATTGGCTGATGATTTAAATGATAATTTATGAAACAACCGAAATAAATTTTTTAAATTTATTTAACTCTTTAGAACTAATTTTTTTAATATAAATTTATATTTTTAAGAATTTAAAATTTCAAAAAGTAAATATCTATTACGTTTTTGAAATAAATTATTGAAAATTTTAAAACAATATTAAGAGAAAAATATTAAGTTAAAAAGAAAACTTACAACTTTTTCGATGACGGGTATCATTACTGTTTTGCCAGTATCGTCAGCTGATTTCGTAAAGTCCTCTTCGAAAGGACCTTCAAGCTTGATGAAATTTTTTAAATCGTCTTTATCTTTCTCGTCTAAGTTGTAGTAATCAGCTAGAATAGTGGGCTCATCATCTATTGATTCCGGTCTACTACGCATTAATAGTCTATCCATATCCTCACTTGATATAGGGATGGCCAGTATAGAACTGCACTTTAGGCATAATTCTGCATTTCCACTTAGATCGGTGACTTTGATATTGCACGCTGGGCATTCTTTTAACATTTCAGCTTCCTTTGTTTTGGAGGTGAAAGGTTCGGATGTAATCAGGACTTCCTGAATATTCTTGGGTATTTTCCACATTTCTGCTGAAATGTATGGCTTTTCAAAAGTTTCACTCTTAATATAGGTGAACCCTTCTTCCATTTCGGTCCTATCTTTGGACATTATGCATACTTTTGCAACTTCTGGAATTTCAGGAGTCTCAAGCTTGGTGGACTCTTCAGATGTAGTCTTGGGCGTTTGGCACACTTTTGCAGCTTCTATAATTTCAGGAGCCTTAATTTCGATGGATCCTTCGGACGCAGTCTTGGGCATTTGGCACACTTTTGCAGCTTTTGGAATTTCAGGAGTCTCAAACTCGATGGACCCTTCGGACGTAGTTTTGGGCATTTGGAACATTTTTGCGGCTTTTGGAATTTCAGGAGTCTCAAGCTCGATGGACCCTTCGGACGTAATCTTGGGTATTATTGCTCTTTCAAAATCCTCCAGATTGGTGGATTCTGTCAATCCAATCTTGAGCATTTCTGGAAATTTACGATACTTAGATTTGTCGAAAGTGCATGCTTGGGATGTGATCTTGGGCATTTCGCATATTTCTGGAAGTTTACAATCAGCTTTGCTGGAAGTGGAAATTTTGGACGTAATGTTAGGCTTTTGGCATACTTTAGAAGTCTCAGGTTGCGTAAAAGTGAATGTTTTGTACGCCTTGGACATTTGACATTCTTCTATAGCTTCAGGATTGTCAGGCTTGTTGGAGATAGACAATTCGGTCATAGTCTTGGATATTTGACATGTTTCCGTAGCTTTAGGATCCTTAGCTTTATTGGAGGTAGAGATTTTAGAAGTAGTCTTGATACTTTGCGAAGTTTCTGCCTTATGTTCTTCTGTTATTTTTTCCACTTTCTTCTTGGTATCTTCCATCAATTTCTTATTCGGAATTTGCTCTTTTTTCTTTGCGTCTTGCTTTTCCAATTCCTTCTTCAATTTCTCGTCAAATTCTCGAGATTCAGTTTTCTTCTCGCTCATTTTCGACATTTGAACACAGAAGCACTGCGCCGACAACAGAAATCCCGAAAACAAAAGGACAGTGCGAGAAACAACGGGAGATTCTCCTACAAGACACGTTTCAAATCGATCGCAAAGCAGTTTTAAACTGTCGATCGGCGGAGAGGTCGAGTTCGATTATGATCCTTCAAGACGAGTATGTGTATGTCAATGTTTATCGTCAGTCGTTGGTCGCGTGACAACTGCGTGTATCACGGGAATAACGATACTACTCCACTGTGTAAGCGATACCGGTCTTGCCTGAGGTCGCGATAGGTCTGCAAATTTTATTTTCCTCTTCTTTTATTCTCAACACAATATTCTCTCCCACTTACAGTACAGTTTATTAAACACACGTTTAATAATACACAAGATGCCCCCGAAGTGCCTGACTTTCAATGATATCAAAGGTCAAAGTCAGAAAGAGAGAATTTAATTTAAATTGTGTCTGTAAAGATACGAAATATATCGTTCCCCTCGGCAAACAAATAATTCACAAATTATATATATCGATTAAGAAAATATAATTAAGTAAATAAGGAAAATTAACTTGCACGTATTTATCGTCCTCCACTTATTATTAGCGTCTTTCGGTCCCTATATTGAATTTTGATTCTATTTTATTAAGGGTCATTACACAAACATTGTCGTAACTTCTAATGTTATCTTATATCATCCGTAAGGCCGGAATCAGACTAGGCATTAAAGATTGAGATTGAAGATTGAAAGATTGAAATTTGACCAATCAAAACAATAGGAGCTAAAATTCCTTTGCCCTCATTGGTCAAATTTCAATCTTCAATCTCAATCTTCAATAAGTAGTCTGATTTCAGCCTAATGCCCGTGTCACACTACGCATTGGAGACTGAGGATTGCGAATTGAGGATTAGAATTCAGCCAATTAGAACGAAATGGATTAAACTTAAAATTACTTGATTGGTCGAATTCTAATCCTTAATTCGCAATCTTCAATCTTCAATGCGTAGTGTGACACGGGCATAAGACATAACGTAAGTAATCCCGGATCTACAATAGAGTTTTAAGCCTTAAGCCATAAGAAATGTACGAATCATAGTCGATTATTCCTCTCGAATTCGACTGTAATTGGTCAAATTTTTACAACTTAAGGCTTAAAACACTCAGTCGATTATTCTCCTTGAATTTGACTGTGATTCGCCTATTTCTTATGGCTTAAGGCTTAAAATTCTATTGTAGATCCGGGGTAATGTAAGGAATGATAAGGAGCTGTGCATATGTATTTCTTTGTGCGTTGCTTACGATGGCCCTAATAATAAGGGCGTGTAACACTTTTGTGCACAATAGAAGAATTTACTTTTAGGTTAATATTACATGAAAAATTCGTCGTACGACAAAAAACGGATGCATGTAATATTGGCCTTATTCGTGAAAAATATTGCATGCGAAAATACTAGGGAAAATACTAGGAAAATATTAGGGAAATCTATAGTATTTTTTTCATTTTCGTATGTGATATTTCAAAAAAATGGGGCTCCTGCAGTCCTGTAGGAAAAAATATTTGGGCCCAAATTTGATTGGCTGTTTTAAATATGGCAGTATATCGCTATTTATATATGCACAATGTTACACTTGTCTTCTCTAAAATTTTTAGGGCCTCTTTCACCAACTTCTGGTTAAATTAATCGATGATCAACTCGCAGAAGTGCCAACAGTAATTTAATGTATCAGATTACGTCTTCTCTCTCTTTCTCTTCTGTGTTCAGTTCTCACGTTGGCAATCGTGGTGATTAAGTTATCCTTCGATTAGCGTTAATCGGAGTTGGTGAAAGAGGTCCTTAGAGTGAATGGTCACTCTGAAAAATAAAATCTCACTTTTGAAGATTGAAACTGAGCCACTCTTTTTCAAGATTGACTCAATTTTCATTTTTTAAAGCGAGATTCCACTTCAAAGAATTCAGAAGGTAGGAAAGTGCATTTGGATCTTTTGATTGACTGTTCCAGTATGTTAGACTTGTTCTTTTACATCAAGGGTCTGTTCTTTGTGACTGAACTAGTATACACTTTTGGAACTTAAAGTGAGATAGGTACATGTTTAAATTTGGCGAAATTGAGAAAGAGAATTCTAGTGCAACAGTTTAGTGTAGGAATACAAAACAGATCTTATGTTACACATTAATGTTACACTTGTTTTTTACATCATGATTAGTTCCATTTATCATTTGTCTTATCGTTTGATTTCTTATAATAAATCAACTTTACAGTATTTGGAGATTTGCTTCTTCTTTTGTAACTTTCCATTAAAAATAATTCTTCGTTGGTCAAAAATTGACTTTGATCTTGAATCGTGTTGAGGGATTTTGACAGTCGTTTGACAAGTCTTGCAAACGGACGAAAGTCCCACCGACCTTATCTAACATGTTTATGGCCGATGAAGACCTCATCCGGACGCATCGCTCGCTTTTGATGATCGTCATCGAATGACACGACCCAACGATATCGAATCAACCAATTTCTTCTAGAAATCTTTTGCTGTTGTCATAGATCATTTTTTAATCCGAGAAATCGCAGTTTTGTTTTCGAATATAATCACCATTGAATTTCCAATTCAATACAAGTAGTCGGAAAAGAATTATGAAAGTTTAAGACAAGATTAATGTACAATAACAAGAAAATTAATGATACGTAACTAATACAATTAAATGAGAAGAGCTTTAGTCGGTCAAAGACCTTTGATCGAATAAGACAAAGTTAAGACATAAGACGTTTTCAAGATATCTTTTAGACGTCAAAGACATCTTATGTCTCATATTTTGATACTTTATGTGTTGTTTGGAAAGCTCTTTTCATTTAATTAAAATTATAATCGACGTTAAGATTTATATTAATTAAATTAAATTAATTCATATTAAAATAAATTTAGAGATATTCAAAGAAGTATTCAGAAAGAATTATTGTTTGTGAAATAAGAAAATCTTTTCCAAATTTAATTATTACTATTCTCTCTTTCTTTTTCTCTCTTTCTCTTTTCTCTTTCTAATTCTTTCTTTCTTCTCAGTATTTGTAGTAAAGATTTTGCGAGACTTAGAATGACAATATTTCAAGAGAAATATAACAAAAAAAGAGAAAAAAAGAGAGAAAGAGAGAGGCTGTCACAAAAAGTTGTATCGAGAACTTCTTTTTTCCCTCTTAAAAAGTCACGTTCTTAGAGGTCTTTCAATTGGAAATGTGCGGACTATCATGGTTCACGATCCCATGGAATGCACGATGACCGCTCCGCACCACGCAGGTGTAACCTGTCAGATGATGTCACCACATACACTCGAGCATTTGCGATCGAACAACTTTACGATCTAACGTGATTGAGCGAGTAGCATCGCGAGTCTTTCGTTCCTTCTTAGAAAAAAAGAAAATAAAAAGATTAATATAATGGTTGAACTTCCACTTAGCATATCTTTTAAAATTAATAGCATGTAAGTGCAAATATCTTCATTGAAGAAAGATGGAGAGCAATAATAAACGATTTATTAAGATCGTATGTGTGAATACATAACAAATAAAAAATTTAAAGTCTATATAACGATCGAACTGGATCTTAGATGCTTAAATAATTTCCATGAATTTATATACCACATATGTAATCCGTATAACAAATCAAACTAACAAAGACTCATAAATCAAAAGAAATTGGAAAAGGAAACTAATAGGAGTCAGGCGCAGGAACTTCTGCGCCTGACTCCTATTATCCTTATTCTTTCCAATTTCTTTTGACATATGTAATCATTCGAACTGCGCCGAATTGGTTCTTCGGATTTATAAACGCTACTACTAAACTACTGTAATAATATTACAAATTAAATTGACAAGCAATTTAATAATTTAATGCTCAATCAGACATCCTATTAGAAAGATGTTAATGTGCTGAAATTCTGTAAATAAATTTAAAAGATGGAGAATATGTGTAACTGTAAATATAATAATAAGAGATTATATATATATATATTAATAAAAGAGAGTGTCTCTTCTATTGCCATAAGAGAGAAACATAATTTATATAAATAATTAGCGTACAGTGATTAATTAAATAAGATATCCCGTTAAATGTGGGTGTAAGTACAAAAAATACAGATTTCAGGGAACTAAAGTTACAAAGTGAATTCTTCTCAGTATCATAGAAAAATCGGGCTCAGTAAGCATTTCGACAATTCTTCTTTGATGAGAATTTGTGAGTGCTTGTTAAATTATTCAAAGTTCTGCGCCAATGCGCAATAAAGATGCTTATCTGCAAGCATGCGTCGCAGAGAAGTCTCGAGATTTGCAGAAAAAACGTGGATCACATCTCGGTTTCTTCCAGAAATAACGTTGGAAAGCGGCAATTCATACATTAATAAAAGAAGATTGATATCGAAATTAAAAACGAAACGAGAATTTAAATTTGGCGAATGAATAAATTGTTGGCAATATTGCATACTCTTTTTTAATGCGATCCAAATAAATAAATAATTAGCATCGCGCAAAAATAAATATTACAAAAGAGGAAAAATAAAGGAAGATTTTCATTTCCTTTTTTTTTATCGAAAAAATCATCACGAAAGCCTTACAGAAATCTAATACTGGCCAATACTGAAAGATAGTAATTAATTATTTATTTATTTTAAATATTAAAAACATGTTGTCGAGTATTTTTAGTACTTCAAATAAGTAATTAATTACTATTTGTCGATAATACATTGGCCAATATGATTTCTGTAAAAGTTTCGTGATGTTTTTTTCGATGTGAAGAAAAGGGAAGAGAAAATCTTCCCTTGAGTGAAAAACGCCATATTCTCGGTCAAGGCGGTTCTTCGTGTCCAACATCTTTAATAAAATTTCTTGCGAATTTATACTCTAAACTTTTAGGAGTGAATTGTCATTCCGAAGAGTGAAATCTCACTCTTAAAGATTGAGCCACTCTTTTTTAAGACTGGCATAATTTTCACTCTTCAGAGTGAGATGCCACTTCAAAGAATTTAGAGAGTATAATTTCCAGTTCGCATAGTCCTAAATCGAAGCTGGAGTAGTAATATCACCAATTAAATAGTAATATCACAAAGAAAATTTTCCGTTTGTCATATAGCGAACGGGTAAAGAGCAGATCTCGGCGATTAGAGTCGGTGCGTCGGCGCATAGCGACGCGACGCGACGCGACGCCACGCGCTTGTCGTTGCCATACATTCGCATTATCGCGCGTCAGTGAGTTTATATGCGCGAGCTTCTCA